TTCATTTCAGCATTAGATAATGAGTATTCTCTGGAAGCAGTTATCAATTCAAGAAGAAATTTCACGAACTGATAAATAAATTTTCTTCGGCGAATGTAATCGAATGCAAAAAAGAAGTGTGCAACAGTGTGCATGAGAATATGAAAAAGAAGGGTTTTAAAAAAGTTATGGTTGACTGAGAGTTCAAATAAAGAAATTGTAGTCTAGAAAGGAAAAATGTCTTAGAACTCAATCAATACTTATTTGTAGAGAGATATTGACATTCACACAAACATCAAAGACGACGAAGAGATTCAAGATGAAGAAGATAGAGGAAAAGACGTTTTCAAAATATATCGCTTATACTTTCTGTTTTAAGTGGATAAGACCTCTAAATATTGGTATCTTGTGTCGGGCTTAAATCTCAGTGAAAGAGCCACATGCTTGATATTTTTGTCATTTTTCCCACGTATAACATAAATAAGAGCCAGTTTCCTTAGAAATTCCTTCATGAAGGTATCCCTTTCCTTTACAATTAGCCTGCCTGTGCTTTGCCGTAATCAACTAAAACCAAATTTACTTCTTCCTTAGAAGTACAGTTGAATTAGAGTACCTTCTTAAACAAAGAGACCTCTGCGGAGAGGACATACTAAGGAAAACTGGCTCTTTTTCCCATTAAACACGAAGAAAATCATGAATTTATTCATACAGCCAGCCCGTTCGGCGAAATTTAAATCTGGGTCAAACTAACAAAGTTTAGTTATTTTACTACTATTGGTGTGCCACGGAAACGGGAAAAAAAAATTCTTCAGGATAATAATGAGAATAAATCTCGGCTATTCTCTTAAATGAGGCTCTTAACTTGGTTAGGACGTTTGTAGAAATACGTTATCGTGCAGGAAACAATCTGGTAGATGATTTATTTCCTAGTAGTTGACATATCAGTCATTTTAACTTAAAAACAAAGCTAAGTAGACAAGCTATGCAGGCTGATTATTTTAAGTAAAAGTTGCTATACCAAACTTATAAAGCAAAATTTTTGTAATCCTTTTTCTTTATATTTGACATTTGTTTTCCAAGAATTTTAAAAACTATTCACTTTCAGAAAATTTATTGTGAGGCAAAGTTTTAATTAGTTTTGCTTTGATGCAATATTATTCATTACCTTTCTATGTATCTCATTCACAGATGGCCTGAATTTGTGGTATCAATAGATAGAATAAATTACAACACATATATTTAACAGATTTTCTCTTTTGTTTTCACCTAACTTACTTCGACGTCAGCGTGCAGCATATAACGCCTGCAACTCAGAAAACATGTGTTAATTAACCTTTTGTATTATTGAGAAATCTGCTTGACAGCAGGCTATTTATAGCTGTGTTTTGAAGGAGTCAAAAATTATACTCTGTGTGCAGACTATTCAAGATGAAGTCTTGAATAGTCTGCACATAGAGTATAAACTATAGACTGTAGCACATAGAGTATAAACTATAAACTATAGAGTATAAACTATAAACTATAGACATAGAGTATGTCTATGTTCAAAATACAGACTGTTGATGCGCTTTGGTATGAGAAGGTTATTGACTGATTATAGGTACAATGGACATTAAAGCATTCTGAATAAAGGGCGATATTTGGAAGAAATACTAGACGCTGAACCCATAATTAAAATCATTAGAATTCGAGAAAAGAGACAAGGGTTTATATATGAACATTCTTATGATGCACCACAATATAGCCATCAATATATGCATTTATACTGTTGCGTGCATACGGGTTCATAATAAATTGAGTGCACAAGTCCGATGAAAAATGAGTAAGATTTATTATTATCACAAGAAATTGAACAAAATGCTTAAACTTTATCAGATAATCGTACAATATTATAATATCTCACAGCAGTTATCTTTTAAACTACGAAAACGTTTAACAGAACTAATTCAAAATAGAGAAAGCTAATCTGATTTCACCTCGATTTCGCTACAGTAAATAATAACAGTTTTCTGAACAAAACTGAATTGAGAGGCTTTGATCCCGCTTTTATAAGCCTTTTAAATGTGCACGAGGATATTCTGGTATTTTCTCTATTTTCCCCGAAAAGCAAAAGAGTACAGTTACGAGATATCTATTTATTAAATGCACGTGCTCCTGTATTTTTAATTTTTCCAGCGCAGCTTTCTCTTCAAATACGTCTCGTGCTGCATTGCACGGGAATATAAAACAATTTTAATCAATCCTATTTAAAAGTAGCTAAATCAATACAAAAACCGTAACAATACCAACGCACCAATATATACAGATTTTTAAAAATTCTTAGAAAAGCATTTGTTTTAAATCTTTAATCCACTTATAGATCAAGGACTTTTCTCAGTCTACCAATGATTAGGACAACCATGTGTAATGAGCGTATATTAGTCATTTTTATTATTATCTTGAAAAATTAAGTAACAGCTGACTAATGGAAAATTGCCAAAAATTTACAGTGTATTATTACATGAAAGTTAAAATTTCTTAATGTGATGATATATACCTTCAAATATATGCATGATGCTGCTAAACCAAAATCGAGGAGAGAAGTAGTGAAGAATAAAAACTAGCATCCGTACGGGAACGAAAATATTTTAAGTGCTCAGGGCCTTTTAAGGTCATAATACGGCACTGATGGTTTTCCTCCTTCTCATCATCACTTCCTCCTTTTGCTGAATATATCCGACTATTTCGTCATTTGATTGAGTATGATGAATGTCTGCAGAAACTGTCTACAGAAACGAGAGTATGCACCACCTTTTCACTAATACTGATCTTCTCCGAGCATGCAACTAAATCACAGATGTCGGCCGCGGGCGACAGATGTGTTTCATAACCAGTAAAATCCTTATCACTCGACTCATAATCTGCATTGCTGACCATCCAAAGTGCAACATGAAGAAGGACAAGAGATATCAAAACCAAATTTATTTCGGAGATAAATAATACACTGTGAGGTATATTATTTTTACTAATAGTTATTTTAATTTTTTAGTCTTTTCTGTTTTTTCTGATTTCCCTCGCGTTTCTTCACCAGAATGTAAATGAGTTAGGGTGGACGAGTGTGTATTTAAACTGAAATAGAGAAAAGTTAGTCAGAGTGTGTTTTCGCTATTGAGTGCACACGTTATTACTTCTACCAGCTATTTGAATTTTGAATCTCGGTTTCGCATTTTTACCGCCAAAGTTTATCACGCTGATATAGGTTTCTGAGTCCACCTGCTAGTTTAAAATAATTTGTATAGTCTTGAGCTATTAGTCGGCCTTTTAATTTAGTTTGTTACCATTATCTCTAAGCTCTTCACCACAAGTGGCTGGAGCATGTAAATCCATACCGTCTGTAAATAATTGATAGTCTTTTACACTTTTTCCCTGTTGTATTCACCTTCTGGTTTGAGCGATAAGTCGCTAACCAAACTTTCTCGTAGGTTTAGTAGCAGTGTATGCTTGCCAATAATACTAGGCGTTACAACATACATTATCAATTTTAATTGATTTTAAATGCAATCTTTTTGGAGGTGAGGAAGACGAGAAAATCACTAATGAGTGTTGCTTCACATTTGTCAATAACCTCTACTTCACACCGCGGCACTGAGTGAAAGAGGCTTTGAATGAGTTGCTGGGGAATGGCAGCTTATGCAGCCTCCACACATAGCCAAAGTTCATCTGGTATACCCAGGAGTGCAGCATGCCTGGCACGGCATTCTCCAACCATTGACCAGACATGTTCGATGAATGATAGATCTGGAGAAAGGGCAGGTCAGGGTAACAATGCAATATGGTGAGTTAACAAAGCTTGAATATTTTGTGCAACGTGTGGTCTCGCATTTTTCTGCTGAAGTGTGGTCGCAGGCAACTTCTGAAGGCTGCAAGGTTCTGAGAATGGGCTGCAAAATCTCAGAGAGCAAGTGTATTGTTAATGCTTACCAGGGTATTAACAGGAGTGGAATCCAATACTAGCCAACAACATAACAAGAAGTACAGGACTAGTACGGCAATGCATTACACAACAGTCGAGTAGCTTTTCTCCACGATATCTCCAAATTCTAATTTGACTATCGTGGTTCTGCAGACAGAAGCGTGATTCTCTCGAAAACACAGTGTCATGCCATTCGAATGTCGATCTGCGTCGTTCAGCGCACTACTGCAGACTCAGACGCATGGACAGATGCTATTTAAAACAGCAATCTTTCCTCCCTTTGTATACAAATTTTAAGGAGCGTTGCAGTGTCCCGTGATGAGCGTATGAGCTGAAATCGTAATCATTTGCATATTATATTGCGATATATGCATGATGCAATTTTCATGCTGTTTGAATGCTTCCTCCATGGTGCTGCATTTTGGATGACCAGCAGTTTACGAACATGATTGCAGGTCACAATTTAAACCAACAGCGAGTAAATTAGTATGCTTTTTATCTTTTCAGGAAAAAGACAAAGTAAATCAATGTGACTAATTTTCGAAAATCATGGATACTATGTGTTTACGAGAATGTTTTTCTTCATTCCATATATCTCTCGATTTTGACAGATCTGCGGCATACATTTCATGGTAAAACCGGCAATAGGAAAATGGTGCGCTCTTTTCTTTGTGTCCTAATGCAGTAGTTCATCACTTTGAATAAGGCTTGTTACTCTGGCAGCAAAATCAAAAGGCAAACGTTTTCTATATTTAAGTGTCCAGACTATTCATCCATTACATATTTTTTTTTATCTCATAGGCCTAAATTTCGATTTAAATTTAGACTTTCAAAAGTACCTCTATTTTGATATTATCGGTTAATTAGGTGCCTGTTACAAGAGATTTTATTGGTATAATTTGATATGACTAGAATCTAGATGCTGCTCTGTCAAAGTTCCGACTACGAAACAATTCAACAGATGCATAATTTTATGAAAAAGTTCTTTACGTTTTGGGCGACCTCTCGCAATTGCATTTACGAGGAGAGACTATAAATATTTTTATCTAGTGGCATCACAAATTTTATCTGCAACTGTAACGAATTTTATCTTTTTTTTAGGAAAAAATTTGCTTTAAAAAGTTATCAAAAATCATTAAGTTATTCTGGAAAAGATTTATGCTTGGCCATCTGTTAAAGATTAAGTGAATTAAGCGAATAGTTGTTTTCAAAGAAAATCTTTGTGTAATGTAAATTTAAGAAATTTAATTTCACGTAGGCGTTGCAGAAAACCATCTGTTGCCCTCATATATTTAAGATAGAATGATTAAGCAGAATTTAAGTTTAAAAATTTTGATGATCGAAACTTAAATCTCAAGGAATATTTGGCTAATTATATAAAAAGTGTTTCTGAAAAAGGAGGTGCATATGTGATAACTGTCTCTTTCAGAAATAAGATGTGTTTTTAACATGAAATCGCTACTTCCGCATTCCAATATAGCACATTCTGTACCCGTTAATTGTGAATATCTCATATAATTTATATTTTCGTAGTTAATCCTAAGATTTGTAATTTGTGTACAGAATATGTATTAAATACTATGCTAATACGGTAAATTTTTTACGTTTTTTTAATTTTTACGTGCTGTGTTGATTTCATAGTAAACAGTTTTTTCTTTTCCACTAAATGAACAGAAGTTTTGCCTCATTTTCTAGTTGAGGTAAAGTAACTGGTATAAATAGCTTTACATTTGTTATAAATTATACGATGGCTGCTTCTGTTGAAGATCAAGTAAAAGATGGAGAACAAAATGAGTCTCAGAGTAGTCATACTGATGAAGGTATATCATCTGCATCTGATATCAATGCTGAAATAGAAAATTCTATCTTTACTTCACCTGATCCTGAACCAGGTGTGTCAGCAGCATCTGATAATGTGGACAATGAAGCTAAAAGTCCTGCAAAAGAAAAATGTACTACTTCAGATGATAAAACTGACTCAATATATCATATAAAATGGATTTCCTTGAATGGAAGAAAAAGCCCAATTATTACTCAGGTAATTTTTTTAGATTTGGGGGGGGGGGGGGGTGTAGAATGCCATTTTACCTCGTAATTAGTACCAATTAAGTAATAGAAATTCTATTTTTTTATTTTGCATTACTCCTGGTACTGCAGCTAGTGTAGTGGGAGATTTATAAAATGTAATAAATTAGATTTTACTTTTAATATGTATAATTTATCGTATTTTCTGGCATATTTGGTTTGGGTTGCTTTGCGTGTCTCTGAGCTTTTTAATAAAGATAAAATACACTTTTAAGAGAAAGTATGTTTTTGGTTGTATTTTTTGAAGAGGACCTATTGAATATGAACCTTACCAAATGCAATAATAGTTTTATGTAGGTAATGCCCTGACAGAGTTTGTACCTTTTACTTTACTTTGTTACTTTATCATTACAAGTTATGACATTAATTTCATTTAGCAGTCATCTAAGAATAAAATATAGAGCTACTACTATTTTCCTCTCTTTGTAACCATAATCCTTACCAGGAGGAAAAAATGATCTTAGATCCAAAATACATTTAACTCTTACTGATGTAGCCATCCAGCAGTTGATTTTTGTCTTTCAGAAAAGTGGTTGCTTTATAGTGCAGATCTGTGTTCATTCAATGCTCATGTTTGTTTTTGCTTTCAGAAATACTGTTCATTTTGAGAGGTTGTTGTCATCGGAGGGTTAACTGTAGTTGTTTCGGCAGCATTTTTTGCAGCATTAAAATATGAAAATTTAGGAAAGAAAATGTTGAGTATTTAATCTTAATAAAATGTAAAAGTTTTTCAATTCTATGGCTTGAGATTTATTGTAAAATTTAAAATAATTGGGTTTTTGTTAACATGTATCTCTCTCTATATAGATAAGATATGCATAATTAAAATGTTTTTAACCTCCTTTGGCGTATTTTACAGTTTTTCAATTTTGAGCTACTATTGTCGCAAATGTTCATTTATTTCTTATTCGTTCAGTACTACAAAAATGTTGCTCATTAATTTTAAGGCTAATCTTTGGAATATGGTAACACATTGGCGACATTTTGGTAAGGCGATAAAGGTTCCTAGCTAGGACTTTAGCAGTGTACATGGATAAAATCCAGAGTGTGCGCAATGCCATTTTTGTGCAATTCTGAGATATTTTTTTAAGTGAAAATAGGTCGACGTGTACATGGATACCGCGTACGCGCAATTCTTAAAAACGCGCGAAGCAGTGGGCGATTCTGCACTTTCTCCCAATTTTGCACCTAATCTTCGTCACTTTTGTTCCACAAAAAGTTCTAGCATGAGTGTAATTCGGCTAGCAGATTGTTGGAAAAAAAATGTCGAGTTAAAAAAAAAAAAAAAAAAAAAAAAGCCTTTACTTCGTGAAAATAAAATGGCGTTCAAACAAAAACTAGCAGGTTGCTGTAGCAGGGTTGGTCGCCAAAGTTTCGCCAAGTTACCATAATCCAAAGATTAACCAATTTTAACATAATTTGACATTGCTTTTGAATAAAATAAAGTTCATATTCTTCAAAAGCTAGACAGCTGAATATTTGATAATCTAGTATATAGCTAATTTGTCATTTATTGCATCCAGGTCTTTAAAAGATTGGATGTTAGATGCCATTCTCTAAAATTTTAATGCTGATGTTTGCAAAAGAAAATGCATAAAGAATTTTTTTGCATAAAATCTTTCACCCCAAAATCATGTAGGCATATGAAATTAATTATTTTATGCTGCTTAATCGCATTCCTCTTTGTTAGAAGCCCATATCGGATGATCAAAGTATGAGGGTGAAAAGCTGTTTCTTTTCCTTTTTTTTTTTGAAAGGTTATTTGTGTGTTTGTAATTAATTCTGGTACTTTCTAATTATAGTGGCTCCCGACCTCATGCCGCTATGATTTCACCAAACTCATGAAGTGTGAATGTAATAATAAAACGACACAGTATATAATAATAACAATAATACTCGCATGTCATTTTCTAAGAATATTTTTAATAATTGTTTAAGTGACCATAACCAGCTTCAAGTTGCTCTATTTTATATGTTGTCCAGCAGTCTGAATAGATCGTTGATCTGTCTTGCACATGTTGAATAATTTGCATCTGGGGTAAGTGTAGAATCACCCACTGCTTGGCGTGTTTTTAAGAATTGCACATACTTGGTACCCATGTACACATCGACCTATTTTCACTTAAAAAAAAAAAATCCAAGAATTGCACAAAAATGGCATTGTGCACTCCCTTGACTTTATCCATGCACACATCTACCTATTTTCACTTAAAAAGTCAAAGAAAATTGACAAAAATCCAATTCTTCTTACTCTTGTAAAAAGCGCCAAACAAGTAAGTGGGCAATTCTGCACTTTACCTTGCATCTGTATTCAAGATTTGAACAGCAAAGTCCTCTCATCTCCACAGCATATTCCTTAAAAAACCCACTGTTGTGGCAGTACTCTGCTGCTGATGGTTTTGCATCTGATGAAAAAACTATCATAGATTTCTAATATTTTACTGCAACTGCCTATTTGCTAATCAAATCTTTTCATCAGAATGCTGGGAACATATTTCTCCGCTTGTAATTGTTCCCATCAATTGCAGCATTTTCCCACATATTAAGCTGTTTATCACACTATTTGTTGGATGTCCATTTCTCTGCCCAACTATGCATAAATCTAATATCAGTGACCAACAGAACACCATCTGATAGAGACTCCCTATCCTAGGTCATATGCTAAAAAAAAAGCGACCCTTTCCTTGTCAATCGTCTCAACCTCTAGTGGCCGCTCGATGGGACGCTACCCCTCCCCCCCAATCGGTGCAGAGGGATGAAGGCCCAATGCGAATTAAAGAGGGAGCTGACAGCATCCACGGCACTATGGCAAGGATGATAGGGCCAGCTTCATGTTGATGAGTTTGGTCAGAAGAGAAGGTCACCACTCCTCTCAACTGACGGTACTAGACAAGTAGAAATTTTTACAAGAGACAAAAGTCTCCCCTCAGTATAGACTGAGAGGAGCCCAACCCTCTCGAACGACCAACATATCTACGATGTAACGTCCCCACAGCTTTGGGACAGACGTTGCAGTACCATATGATCCCTGTCGAGCCTAAAGCAACCACTGAATAAAGGACGGTTCTAATCTATGTGAAGACTGATTATTTGCTCTGCAGGCTGAAGCTGTCTAGGCACAAGTCTAGCCAGTGATCTGGGAGAACCCTGGGTCTCCTCCCATAAATGGTCGGTTCCGGTTATTCCATCCAGTCGGACCACACAGTTAGTTGTCCAGCACTGTTAGCCTATGCCAGCCAGCATAGTTACCAGCAGGTGCTACAAGGAGGCTGTTGCTGAACTGAGGAAGACGTGATGAACCACCTCCCTCGGCATCCACACCTTTAAATCAAACCCCAGGTCTCCTACCACCAGCAGGTCAGTTCCAGAAATTTGCCCTCAGATACGGGCACCACCTGTCATCAGTAACCAACAATATTCTGGAACCACTAAACCAATTTCCAACATGAAGGTGCTTATTCTTTTTATAATTTTTAATGTTGCACTTCTAAATAGTTTGGTCATTAATATATAGTTTTTTTGCTGTGGCTGTTTTCGTGTACTCACTTGTTAGGTAAAAGATTTCTTTCCTGAAAAAGTTATATAGTATCCACCTCTCTGCCTGGCAAATTAAAGATTGTTAATCGCATATTCACAATAAAGCAAGGAATATTTTTAAAAACCAACGCAAAATCGAAAGACTTAGCAAAAATTAAAGAAGATTCTAACATAAGATCAGGTGACAAGATTTCTTTGTTTATTAGTAATTCAATCTTGTCAGCCACTGTAACAAGGAAGTACCTTTGTCAGCCACTGTAACAAGGAAGTACCTTTATTCTTCTAAAATTAATAATGTAACATTTAACTCAAATTAGTTTAAAGTGACAAAAAATTATATATGATTGTTTTCAATTGCAGAATGAAAATGGTCCTTGCCCACTTATTGCAATTATTAATGTACTAATTATGAAAGGAAGAATTACACTACCATCTCTAGTAGATTTTGTTACAACAGAAAATTTAATGGAGTATCTGGGAGATTGCATTTTGGACAGTATCCCAAAGGTGAGCTTAAGTTTACTGTCTTTTGTTAAAATTTTTGAAGGATATATATATAATTTTGATGTGTAGAAGAAAACACTGGAAATTTTAACGGCTTTCGATATCCATCATGGCTGGTGGTTAAGGTATACAGATGAAGGCAACAAAATTGAATTTCGACAAATCACCAGTCTTTATTTTCACACATATCCAATTAATTCAGCAGACACTGATTCAGTATTAATTAAATATGATAAATTTCTATGTATATATATATTTTTTAAAGAAATGACACAGGCAGTTGAGAAGCAAAGCAGCACTTGAGAATGGAATAACGTAGTTTATTTTGTGAGCGGTATTTATACTAAGTACATGTAGAAAATACTCTATAATTGGTTGTTTAATAATAGATTATTATATAATCATGGAAGGCTCTCGAATTTGTGAGAACAGATAGATTTAGGAGGAGAGCATCAAATCTAGAATCCTTAATTTCGAGGTCGACAATTATTTTTAAAGCAGCTATAGTATTTTCTTACATTTTACATATATATTTCTACGTTTGGTACTTTTCCGTTTCGCTGGCACAAATCTCTTAAACCAGACTTTGTTGGCGACAACATACAGTATACACGTAAAAAATTTTAACAAATGTTAGGTCTAAGAATTTTTTATTTTGAAGGCATAAACATTTTAAGGAACTACTCTGATATGTGCCCTCAAGTCGCCAAATTTCTCGCCAAACATTTTTGGCGAGAAACTTCACATTGCCATATTACTATCTAAATTTTTTGTCTACATTTCGAACTTTAAACCTAAAATGTCTCCAAAAACGCACATGCAAAAACTACATTTGAACACACGATTTAAGCTAAAAATCCAAAACAAAAACAAAAAATTTAGATAACAAAAACGTAAAGTTTCTAACTAAAAATATTTGACAAGAATCCATGTACACAGCGACATGTTTTAACTTAAAAAAACATATATGAATGGCACAATGTAGGCAACGAATGAATCTACGAACTACACACACCTCGCTTTAATAAATTAACATAACAACAATAAATTTCAAAGAATACCATGTACACAGCATCCTGTTTAAACTTAAAAAAAATCTACGAATTCACAATTTAGGCAACAAACGAATCTATGAACTACGCACACTTCGCTTTAATAAATTAACATAACAACAATAAATTTCAAAGAATACCATGTACACAGCGTCCTGTTTAAACTTAAAAATCATTTACAAATTGCACAATTTAGGCAAGGAACGAATCTGCAATCTACGCACATCTTGCGTTAATAAAATAACATAACAATAAATTTCAAATAATACCATGTACACAGCGTTCTGTTTCAAAAACAATAATAACGACAGAAATTCATACTAAAGAACCAATGAACATATAACATTCTACAAAATAAGATCAAGAATAAAATGCACTTACAATGAATTAATGCTTTTTCGAACAGCAGAAATACCAACTTCATACCGCCTTTAACATGCCGCCGCGTAATCACTATCGTATTTACATGACAGCCAGACACACTCCAGAAAATTCACACTATGGTTAAAAAAAATAAATAAAATAAATCACAAATCCCTACTTCTATCATGCACAGCCATTAAAAATAATCTCCCAGACCCTCTTTCCACACCTCCAAATACCCGCTATCCCTCAACAGTATGACCACAATGATATTTCCTTTTGCCGAACTTCAATTCAACAACTACCATTTTATCTTTCCCTCTCGTCTTCTCAGACACTGATGCGAATCAACGAGCTCCAGCGAAAGATTTTTCAACGTCAACAGGGTCGTGCCAAAAACCAGCGGAACACATATCGCCACATTTGGTGAAATTAGAGCATATATCAGAGTTGTACCCATTTTAATATGGTTTAAAATTTTGAAAAAAGCCAATCAATTTGCAAAAAGACATTAATTTAAGAATTTACTATGCATTCATGGTTCAACTTCCTGATTCGCAGGTTCGTATCACGTGACCCCAAGCGATCTCATGTCACGTAAACTACGCTACAAAAATCTAATTATCTCAGTAATTATCTACATTAATTTCAAGTTAAATCTTAATTTGGAATACAAGTTTAAATGCAAGAATTATTTCAATTCGTACGAATAGCTGGTAAAAGTATAGTTTAGGGTACCTCTTGGCGATTTTTGGCGGTACATGGATACCGATTTTGTGCAATTCTTTGACTCGTTATTTTGGCTTGCAAAGCGGCGAATTTTGCGCGAAAAATCGCCGCTACACAAAGCCAAAATAACAAGACAAACAATTGCACAAACACGGTATCCATGTACACATCGACTTAATTTCACTTAAAAAAAAAAAATTCCGAATTGCACAAAAATGGCATTGCGCACTCTTTTGACTTTATCCATGTACACATCAACCTATTTTTACTTAAAAAAAAATCTCAGAATTGCACAAACTTGCATTGTGTACTCCCTTTACTGTGTCCATGTACACATCGATATATTTTCACTTAAAAAGTCAAAGGAGCACCAAATTCTACAATATAGGCAAACAAAAAATGCATAATCTCAATAAAATGCATTTTAAACCAACAATAAAATAACATACAAAAGGAAAAACATGTTATACATTTAAGCACAACCAAAAGCAAATATTCACTTACCATGATTTTCGAGTTCACTTCGTACACCCAGAGCCACGTAAAAATCAAAATCTAAATCATACTCAAATGACTTTTTTCAAACCAGGTACTCTTTCTGATCGAGCGCTTCGCATAGTGACCATCCGAACCTTTCTTCCTACAAACCCATTCAAATCCATCTAAACGGTTTTTACGTTTGACTAAACGCATATCCTTCCTACATACAGGACACTTATAATAGCTACTAAGTAAATCTTCATTTACACACCAGTCAATTAAAGCTCTTTTCTCCTTTTGCTCCAAGTCATACAGAAACTTCAAATTAATCTTACTACATTCGACCATTCTACCGTCTAAAGAATTAAACCAACACATACCACAAAAACGCTTACAAAACATCCCATGATTCAAAATTTCCCAGAATCATGCACTCGATTACATCACAATAATGTTTCCATAAGATTCAACTACTCAGGCTACCATAAATGAAACAACAACTTGGCGATAAATCAAACAGCAATTTCGCCATAATACAAGGGGTACCTTAAAGTCTACTCTACCTGAATAGCTTACTCAGAAATTATGTAAAACCGCAGTGCTTTACTTTGCTAGTGTATTCTTATTAGAATTGATGAATTTAACCCTTAATTTTGCCTTTTCTATATTTTTGCATTTGGGTGAGCGGTTTAATTGCATCCTAATTGACTTAATTACTGTGAATGGCCTTAGGGCATAAAATTTAACTATCTTGTAAAAATTCTATGTAATTGTATGCCAGTATTGATTGAAAGACAATCAATCTGATAAGAAATGGCTGAGACTTGTTTTGAAAATGAGGCATAAAAGCTACCAGCGAAGATATTCCGTTTGGCATCAGTTGTACCATTATTGGCGACTTTATCGTTTGTGCCGGCAAAATGGAAAAGTACCCTACATTTTAAGATCTATATTAAAAAATATGCTGGAATGAAAAATTAAAGGTAAATCAGAGAAAAAAAATATTGTTTAGGCTTAAAATTGGATCTTTGTAAAATTTGATCCAAATGCCACTTTTGATTTACTTTAATCATTCAGCATCTATAAAATAAGAATGATATATAAATTTTAAATATACACATTCAAATTGGATTAATTGTTAGTTTTGAATCTAAGTGCAGTAGACGCTTTAACAAAGATCACCATATCTGTATGTACAGCAAAAGAGTAATATTAAAGTATTAAGTAAAATATTGATTCAAGTTGATCCCACCATATACACAAAATGATTTCCTCCCCCCCCTCATGAGTATGTTGGTGTTCAAACGTGGCCAGGTGTTGCCTATGGTTATCGTAATGGATCCATTTTTCATTACTAGTGACCATCACACAGTGGGGGGGAGACCCTCTTTAATTTATGCCCAGCAGGCAGCATTTCACATTGGAAAAAATTGGTGTTCAACGTTTCTCGGCTGCATTCCATATGGAACCTAATTTCCTTGCTTTTTAATCATTCCCAATGACTTGACAATGAAACCACTCACGACAACTTCTCTCACTTAAGGCAGCCTCACCATATGCTTCTATCGATAGATAACTGATACACGGCAGCTGCAGATATCTTCAAATTAAGGAAATAAATTAAAAGTTCTCGCAAATGACGCTCATTCAGCACAAAACTCGACATTTTCGTATGAAATAAATATATTGATATAAAATCACTAATATTTCAAGGTTATATTGTTAGCGGATGTCCAATCTTACAATATGATGTTTTACATCAGACAATTTTAACCATAATGTATTTGTACCACCATTTTTGTCAAATGGCATGCACTGCCAATATTTAAGTATTTTCAGAGAAAACATAAAATCATATTCTATTTGATAACAACAATGTATAAGGTAGATCATTTTAACTTTTAAATTATAACTATATATTCCTTTATGATAACATTTTTCATTTGGTAATAAGAGTATTTGTAAAACATTTGAAACTTAGATCATATTTTCTGCTGAGACAGCCGGTGCAAATTTAATCATGGAAGTTTATGAACATTGAATGTAAAAGATACGTGAAGTGCGCTTTGGAAAAAGACAAGTTTACAGAGGCATAAAGCTGGTCACTAAAGGAAGAAGTGTCTTATTTCAGAATATTTGGAACAAGTAAATAAAGAAGTTTTTGCATGTTTTACAGATGCTTAGGACTGGACAACATAATATTTTGTTCTAGCCCAAGCCATTCGGACTGTTATCTTTGATTTGATGCACCTTCAATATCTGCTTGGCTAGAACTATTTATAAAAAATTCCAGAATACCCTAAGTTCAGAATTGAAAGTAATTAAAAAAATAACTTTGAAGTATTAGATTTGAATTTTTTTCTATCATCTATTTAATTTACATTATTTAAAATAGACTGGGTAATCTTTCTGTGTATAATTGGGGTTTTTATTAATAAATACAATTATCTCATCAATACTCTTCAAAAATTAGATCTTTCTTTGGTATTGATATTCTATCTACTCTCTGTTCTTCATTAATGATTATTCTCTTAATAATCATTTTTTAAATTTTTAGAATATTCCTGAAGGCACACAACTGAATTATGAACAGAATATGCATGATGCTATGGCAGTACTTCCCAAGCTTCAGACTGGTCTTGATGTTAATGTGAAATTCACTGGGTATTACATTTTTAATTATTAAGTTCAACTTATTCAAAAAAATATATGAAAATGTGTTTTTGAGTACCTAGTATAGTATCTATTTTGAAATAGAAATTCATAATACCAGTTGTTTTGACTTCCTCCAATAGCGATAATTTTTACCAGAGGGTGCACCGTACAAAGAGTTGGTTGTTTGCGGTATTGAATGACGAGGGAGCAGACACGCCAAGGTGTCAGGCATCTTACCACTAATGATATAATGCATTGTATCTACAATGTGATAATACATTGTTATCTGCCAGGCAGATATAGAAAATGATGATATAATGCATTGTGTCTGCCAGGCAGATTGTAACATGTACCTACTGTAAATACCAGTAAGCTGTAACCTGTAACTGCTAGGTGGCAGTAAACTGTAAATAAATGTACAGTAAAAAAGATCTCAGTGGATTTAATATAGGAACACGTGACAATACAGATCATTTGGTCTCTACACCAGTAGCAGCAACGTTAAAATATAAATATCATTAAATTTATTATTGTTTCAAAAGTAATTTAAGGACAAAAAAAAAGTTTACATTCTTTACCGTGTTTTCTATTTTATTTTTAATGCTTTCCCCAGAATTAAATAAACAGGCATTTAACGTAAAGTGTATACACATATGGTTAAAATAAACATGCATTTAACCTAATTAAAATAACATGTATTGCATTTTTTGTAGAGTAGAAAGCAGCTATTCTATAATTTATATTAATAAGTTATATTTTAAAATCCCTTATTTAAACTAGCTATTTAGCTGCTTGAAACTGATAAAGAGTTCATATTTACTTGATAAAGATTTTAGTAAATTTATATGCATTTATGACACTTATTTAAAATTTAGCAAGAACAATAAATAGAAGAAGCACATGCTGCTGTGACATGTTGCAAAATTAATTTTTTAGCTATCTTGATCAAGTGTTTAAAGTTCCCTCCCTCCTCCGTAATAAATGCAATAACTTGCCATATCTTTCTGTTACTTGCAAAATAGCACAGATTCTCTGCACTTTCAATTTTTATCTTCTGGTAAGGATCCTGCACCGGGCTTGAACTCTTGGAAAATTTTTGGCTTCTCTGTCCATTGCACTTAAAATACTGAGTGAACTATCTGACAGAAATAAAAAGTTTATCTTTATTGAACTAATTGTATTCATTTTAATTAATGAAAAAAAAGCAAAAAGAATTATATTTTCCAGAAGATTAATCTAAAAAGTTCTTCATAAAACTGTAATGAAATCTTTAATTTCATTTCCAAAATATGCTGCGTGTCGGAAACTCTGAAGATTAAAAATAACACATTGGTAATGGTTATCTGTTAAGGAATAAGAATTTCCAGAGAATTATAGATTATTTCTTTGAGCTAACAATAAAATGATCAAGGACTTCATGCCAGCAAATATTGTGCTTTTTTTTTTATTTAGGCTTCAAGAAAACAGAAGCCTAGAAGTTTCCTATTTATTATAGACAGTATTATGTCAAAGATTTAAGATTAAAAAATTACCAGTTTATCAATAGTTTATAAATTTAAAATTGGATTTGAAGTTAAAATAAAAGACAGTTATGTATGTAAATAAAAAACAGTTACATATAATACCAAATTTATGACAGTATAATATATATTTGTATCAAAACTTATAGCAGTGTAAAAGCAAATGTAAACCTATGTCTTCATTGCATTATTCACAACAATACAAGGGTCACGTTGAAATTTTTGAGATACATACAGGTTTTTAAAGTTATACTTAACAAAATTTTAGTAGTATTCAAAGTAGTCTCCTCCAGTATCAGTGCACTTCTGTAGGTGAATTTCCCAAAGATGAAATGCCTGAAGCCATTTATTTCTTGGAATCAATGAAAGAAATGCATTTATAGCCTCATCAATCTCATCCTCGGAATGAAAACTATGACCATATGAGTTTTTGTTTAGACTAAAAAATAGCGAAAAGTCGCACATAGTTATATTGGGTGAATAGGGTGATTCTATCACTTTGGTGTGTTTTTGTTCAAGAAACTTAACTGTCAATCGTACTGAATAAGAAGATGCATTGTCATGGTGGAGCATGAGTTCTCTAACATTCACTTCTCGAAAGCACTTAGCAGTATAGCAGTTAGCTGTGACTGTCTTCTGTCCTTCCAGCTTGATGGGTTTGACTAGTCCTGTACTTCTGAAGAGAACGGCATACCTTACTTTTTTCATGGCACATTGTTTTTTTCCAGCATTGCGGACGTGGGGTCACCTTCAAAGTTCCATACTTTACTGTTTTGACGTGTTGAAACATAAAAAAATTATATGTATATTTCATCACCAGTTGTGATTTTAGAAGTAATGCATTGGCCACCAGTTTAACCCTTTGATGCGCACGATATTATTTTTATAATTTATTAACTAAAAACTCTAGAAATTGAATATTATGATCCTAGAGACAAATAATATATGAATTAAAAAAAATCTACTCTTACCCATTGTTTTGTGGGTGGTGGTCGCACTGTGAAACCACCGCACGCCTGGGACTTTGAAACTTACCTAGATAGTAGGGGGGAAAAACTTACCTTTCTCTGTGCGTGTTTCCAATAAGTGACGAAATTAAAGAATTTTAAGAATTGCATAATATATATATTTTTTACATTATTTTACAAACTGAATCGTCAGAAAAAAATAAAAAATAAACATTTATGTAATTTTTCTGTAGCAGTGAAAGTAATAAGGACGTTTGGCTACATAGATTAAAAAACTTAAATAAGGATAAAAAAAAAAGACTCAGTGGTTTTTTTTTTTTTTTTTTTTTTATTTCAAAGAACAAATATTTTTTGTGACACTGTTCAAAGCATGTTTTGTCTTTTTGCTACATGCATAGACCCACATTGCATGTTTCGCACATGTATCTTCTATAATGTTTCTTCCTTGTGCTACAAAATAGTACACTGATTGGATCTAAATTTCACAGGTATATGTCTAGCGTTATTTAGTTTCTTTTCATCTGGCACATGAAATTTGTCATTTTTTTATGTTAATGGGGGGGGGCCTTGGTCTGTTTGGCTTTGGTACGGATCATTCGTTTCCCATTCATACTTATTTTATTCGCATTTCGTCTCGAAATATTCACAAAATATTTTTAATTTAAATAAAACTTTACGCGATTTCTATTTTTAATTATAGCAAAGTATATTTACATTAAATTTAAACCATAGGAAATAATTTATAAAATCACAATACTAGCTTGGGGAACAAATGTGTTGAGGTCAAAGAAAAGTCTGGAAGAGAACAATCTTTTTACTGGGCAGGTGCATGTATTGTTTAGTAATAAAATAACTCTGTAATTTCAAAACCTCTTATCTATATCCGGGTAAATATAAACATTCCTATTTGAGAAGCAAGCAAACGCCATTGTGAAGAGCAATGGTTTCAAGGCGCAACCACCGAGCCTCTAGAGCATTGTGTCACAATGCTCTAGTGGGGCAGTAGTTGCACCCTGAAACCACAAAGCAAATGCCATATATATAGAGAGAGTTTTTTTATATATGTAGTTTAATTATTGCCTATGATAGAAATCTTGATGTGCGATGAATAACTTTTGAAATTTAAAGTTGTTTATATTAATAAAAGAAAGTTATTTTGTCTCATTGAAAATGAATTTTAAAAAGCATCTGATTTTAAGTACTAAGACCTAAAACATGTATGATTCTGTAGTCATTTTGTGTTATTTAGAGGTAAAAGATCAGTAATCAATTGATTTTCACTCAAAAATTTCGGAAGGAAAAGGAGAAAAAAATTCGAAAATTGGTGGTTTCAGGGCGCGACTACCGTGCGTCAAAGAGTTAAAGTAATTTAAGGGTTTCTTTACTAATTCGGACATGCTCCTCTTTTTGGTGCTCCATTAAATTATGGTAAACGCAATGACAGACTAGTTTTTTGTAAGCAATTATGAATAATTTTATAAGTGGCAGTGTATCCAATGATACATCCTTTCTGTGTCATTTGGTAGGTGCAGCAATTATCATCGATTAACATTTTCCATATGCCAGACACATTATCCGGTATTACTGCTGATAGTGGCCTTCCTGTGTGTTCATCCTGAAGAGAGTTGCGACCTCTGAAATTCTATAAACCATCTGAATACAGTAGCACGAGATGAAGCTTCATTTTCAAATGCTAATTGTAGATGTTGAATGCATTCTTCTTGATTTAATCCCACTTTAAAATCATAGCGCACTAGTGCTCTCGCATCAGTTCCATTTTTCCTTTTGCCTGAAATTTATTCTACTGTAAATAACTTGCCAGTAAAAATTCACCTGCTTGTCTAAAATAGTTCATATTTTTAAAGCTAACTGTTAATTTTTTCTGGTAGTTATCATCAGCACATATCAAAAAAATTTCAGAAATGAACAATTAATAAATCTTCCTTCAGTTAACATTTATACTAGCTATTTTACTAATTTGTATTCCAAAATTACCATAGAAACTCTTTGGTCTCACAATGCAGTAAATCAAAGGAGGTTATGTCATCAACACTTTGCATGATAGCAAAATCACATTTTCCAAAGTTAACGTTCTTTAAAAAAAAAAAAAAAAAAAAAGAGTTAGCTATAGTTGAGATTTAAAAAGTATATATGTTACTGACCGAAATTGAAAGACCGAAATTGAAGAATGTCGACATTCAACACATACCAAATGCGTCGGTGAAAGACCGAATATTTGGTTATATTCTTGTGCATTCGGGCCATCACCGGTGTATGTTGACAATCGCAGATATACTGTGGTGGAGGTCGAAAAGAGAAGTCGAGTTCAACAGAGGGGAGTCTGTCTGTCACCAAATCCTTTGCTCTGCTGTGATTGAAGTTATGTAGCATGTATTTGTTATACTCTGGAACACTGTCAGTCTTATGCTAGGTTTGATGGTACGTGCAACGTTTTCGTAAATTATTATTTTTTTTAATCCGATATCCTAATTTATGCTGAATGGATACTGCAGTGAATTCTGAACTTTTCCTTGAAATTTTAAATGCATTAATTGCGAGTAAACGAGAAGACAATTTTTTTTTTTTTTCCCAAACACATCTTTCCTCACCGGGATTGATTACTCCGTATGAAGCTATGTTTGGCATTAAACCAAGAAGAGGCATAGCATCATCTTTTCTGCCTGGCGAACAAATTGTAAATATTAAAACCGAAGAACAACTCTTAAAAAATTGAATTTTTTTGAAGAAAATCTGAGCAGTGGCCATACCGAAAACCATATTCCAAAAGAAAAATATTGAGGAGGACCTGCGACCTATCAAGCCTGAACTGAACAACACGAGTTAATTTCTATAAAAAGATCGGCCGCGAAAGAGAATCTTTTACGGCAAGCAACGGAAATGTTACGAACCTCAAAAAAAATTTTCTCCTTCTCAAATTGGTCATACCATATGAATACAAGTCCCTGATGTTGACTGTGGTCGTACAGATGGCCGAAATGTGTTGACAATTGTTGCTGGAATAAGACTCTGCCTTTTATAAAGTAGCAAATAAAAATGACACCTTCAAGCAGCTTTATGCGTGTAATCAGTTCGTAATTTGTAAAGAAAAGTTACTTTCCGTAGATAAGATTCCTTCTCAAGTAATGTTGCTGAGAGAAGCAGCTGCAGCTAATTTGAGAAGTAGAGGGCAAGGCTATACATGCTGTCATGCAAAAGGAAATGTTCCACAACTAAATGCAGTCGTAAAAGCAAGGGACTCTTGTGCAATTCAAATGTCATAAAAGTTTATGTTGTTGCAATAAATAAGATTTCAATCACATAATTTTTTTTTGTATAGTTTTCTTTTCTCATTTAGAATGTATTGTTTAAGTTCAAAAGTTTATTTACATGTGCTGTTACTTAAGCTTTTTCATATTTTGAGATATACGGTATTATTGCATAAGTAAAAAAAAGTTCTTTATTGACTACATTTAAAACTAAATGCTTAACATTTATCCAAGCACAACTGCTGTCATCATTAAGAAGTCAAGTAATATCAAGTAGCCCTTCTCGTGTTAGAATCAAAAGCTACATGTCGCGAAGTGAAAACGCCTCTATAGAGTTACAAACAACTCTTCTCAACAGGGATTGGTTACTCCTCTCAGCAAGGCCCATCAACGGTCGAACGGTAAAGTCGCTGAACACTAGTAGTTCGGTCCGAGGTTGAAATCCCGCAAACGGGCTGGCTGCATGGGCGTTTTTATGGTTTTCTCCATGTATGTCCTAACGTGTATACGAGCCAGTTCTCTTAGAAAGTCCTCCACAAAGGCATCCTTTCCTTTAGGCAGATAGCCCTAGTGTGCTTTGCTGTAATCTCAATAAACCAAATCAAATCTTTCAGCAAGACTGTCGAAAATGTTACGTCACCCTTGAAGTTTTATGGTGGCTGAAATACGGAGAACAAAATGCAAATCTGCGACGTGTTCAACATTCACCATTAGTGCACGGTGAATGTCAATATTTGCCGGTGTAAGTCAGAAATAAGAATATTTGGCAAATATTTTGGACATGCACCCAAATGACCATGTGAATGTTGACATTCTCCAAGTCTCAGTCTTTCACAGTAACATATATAATTTATACAAACCTAAATATTATTGTAATTAAAAGGGAAAAAAAAAAAAAAAAAAAAAAAAAAGGAACAAATGTCAGTTTAGAGGATTTCTGTTTCTATTTAAGATGATATAATTGTTTTTTTTAAAAGCTTTTTTTGCTGGGGAGAGCATCTGCCTCAGCTCATTTAATGTTTTGTGGTAAAGAGTGCAAAGTTTTTCAATACCTCTCATAAAGTGTCTTCTTTCTTGATTTGGTTTAATCTGCATTACATAATCAGGCAGTTCTTGCATCTTTTTTAAAGAGTTTGTTTAATTTTCTTCACTGTCGCTGCTTTGACCATTGGCGTGTGTTATAAGATCATCCAATTCCTCATTTGTCATTTTATGATCATTATTCTCGACTAAATCTTTAATTTCTCCATCTCCCATATCTGAAAATCCTATATTGCGTATTGCTTTTCTAATTTGTACAGTTTCCTAGACTTCATTTTCAGTGGGAAGAAATAAACATTATTTACGACTTCTGGTTGGCACTGATGCCAGCAAGCATTCATTATTGATGAATTTACTTGTTCCCATATGAGTTTAATCATTTCTGCAGTGTGCTATGTTGAATTGCTTTCAAAATACCATTAGTGGGGGTTGTGCTTTCCTTCATCTAGTGCTTTATTTGGAGAGACATAAAAATGCCTGTAATTGTTTCTATAATTCCATGATCCATTGATTAGATTAAGGAAATGATGTTCAGTAGAAGGAATAAATTCTGTAAATTTGATGCAGTGCTGTGAGGGCTTCAGTACCATATCCTGGAAGATTATAAAAAAAAAAAAAAAATGACTAAATTTGCTTTTTAAATAATATTCTTCTTGTAATGATGGAATTTTGAAAGCAGTCATTAAAGAGGATTCTTGCAATGTGACTGACTTTGCACTTTACCACATATAATTAAAATTCTCATATTCAACAAATGGGGACAGTGAAGAACGCAAAATTGTGTTCTGCATTTGGCGAGGGTTTATTGTGTAGATCTTTTATAATATTTTTTGGCCATCATATCTGTGTCTTTTTGTTTAATGATTTAAAATCCATTCTTCTTTTCACGTTAGAAAACATATTATAGTATGTGTTCCCAACAAAAGGTGCTGGCTGTATTTTGAGCCATCTGTTGATATTAAAATTAATTCATTTTGATTAGAATGCCCTGTTTTGACAGAATGGGTGAGAGTTCCAAACATTAGTATTTTCATTTGGGTTTGAACCATGAAGAATAAAGTAGCTGTTGCATATTTTAACGGTTTTTATTCTATGCAACATGGACTGAAGACAGAATTTCTATTAGAATGTCTTCAGAAAAGGCACCTTCTTCTTTAGACAGATGGTTGTTGCATACTTTGTCATGTTTGGCTAAATAAACAAGCAGCTGGTGTAGGATTTTTTTCACTGCTGATATACTTTATAAAATGTGAGTTTTCCTCAGTTGAGATTCATATCATATTACAGTTTATTGACATTTGTATGGTGATTTAAGACTGTATGTTGAAATATAAGGAGAAGGAAGAAAGTCTATTCTGATATTGAAGTCGTACTGTTATATTGTAAAATAAAAAGAAATTTTAGTGTTTATTGATGTAATTGTAAAAATAGTTAAGTAACCGTTGTTATGTTGATATTATATTTATTACTGATTTTATATTTCATTCCAGAATCAGTGATTTTGAATACACTCCTGAATGTATTATATTTGATTTATTGAGGATACCTTTATACCATGGCTGGCTTATTGATCCACAGATGACAGATGTTGTGAAAGCTGTTGGCAAATGTAGTTATAATCAGTTGGTTGAGAAAATAATTAACTCAAAATCATCTTTGGATGCTGACCAAGCTACAGAAGGTAAGGAAACTCATTTTTGACTTGCTAGTTTTGCTGTTTGGTCTGAATTCTTAATAAGTGTTACACTCTATTAGCCATTTAGACTTAACAAACTATGTTGATGAATTATGTAAGTATATCTGGCTGTTCTTGAATAGTACAGTTTTCATTTTCAAATTTCATTTTCAAAATAGGTGGAAGATCAAAGTAATAACATTTTACTTAAGGTCCGCCTTTTTTGTCTCTGTTGAAATTACGGGCCTGATACCAACCAAAATGCCATGGAACAATAAGAACCTCATCTTGAAATCTCTATATATGCTACTTGCAGAGTTGATAACTCTCCCGATTTTCGACCTCTCTCCCACCAACCTGATTTACAATATATTCCTCCTGACTTTTTCTTATTCTTAAAATTTCTCACGATTTTTATGAAACTTGGCTTAATATTTCGTTATGTGAACAAAACAACAGCAACAACAAAAAAAAAAACAAAAAAAAAAAAAAAAAAAAAAAGTGATTTTGGACATCTGAAAGCAATTGAATTTTCTCTAGATTATATCTAAAACAAAACCTTGCGAATCAGATAGAACTTCTGCTTTTGTGAGTGAGAGCATTATACGTATCCAGAAACGTCATTCTCCAATGGGCGTCGAGCTCCACTGCGTGTCAGTTGGCATATATTAGCCAATGAGGCACAAAGCAAGCTCAAGGTTGTTATTTTGGATGTTCTTTAGTTATTTCGTTCATCTTTGTCCTGAGTTTGTGTGAGTACACATGTACCTTAGGGAAATAGTTTTAGAAATTATCATCTTTTGTGACATCTGAGGGAAAAGTGAAACACTCGTGTACGTTTCAGAAATAGTACACAGTTGACTTTCCTCCATTATTTATTTCCTCAAGGAAATGTAATAAATTTGCCATGTGTACCGTCTGTCGTTGCGATTTTTTGATTTCGCATGGTGGAAGGGCGGATGTTCTCAATCATGTGTGTACACAAAAACACAAGAGCAACGTGAGTTGTTTTGAAAAAAAACGAAAAATTAAATTTTTCTTCGGAAGCAAAGAACCAAAAAGTTATTAATGCAGAATGTCTGTTCTCTCCCTTTTTACTGGAGCACAACCTGCCACTGAATGCATAGGATCACGCTGCAGCTTTATTTAGAAAAATGTTTCCCAGTAGTGAAATCGCTAAGAAATACTCAATTGCAAGGAACAAAAACAGGTGTAATTGTTAAAGAAATGGGTTTGAAAAATATCTTCAGTTATTGATTGCATTAAAACAGCTCCATTCTGCCTCTCTACGGATGGAAGCAATAATACAGATTCAAAACTGTATCCAACTGTTGTTTCTTTTTTTAATCCAGAGACTTCAGAAATTGAGTGCAGTTTACTTTCTGTCCCCACTTTAGAAGGACATTCAACAGGCTTTAATATAGCACAGCTAATTAATAAAACTTTAAAAGAAAATGCAGTCCCTCTGGATAATTGCTTAGCACTTGGTGCCGATAATGCGCCAGTAATGGTAGGCTTGAAGTCTGGTGTTTAAGAAGTTCAAAATTCAGATTTTCAGATTATGAGGTGCACCTGTCACCTCTTAAATTTAGCAGCTAAAAAAGGGACAGCTTCTTTACCAATAAATGTGGATGAACAGATTGTTGATATTTATTATTATCTTGAAAGGAGTTCTAAAAGGAAGGAAAAATTGAAACAGTTCCAACAGCTGCATAATACTGAAATGAGAAAAATTTTGAAATATGTGTGTACACGCTGGCTGTCTTTAAAGAAATGTTTATCTAGAATCCTCGATCAATGGAACCTTCTTGCATTTTTTAAAGAAGAAGTAAATGCTTCGAGACTTAAGATAAAAGGCTCCATTGAAAGTTATAAAATACCTAAAGTAAATGGAGGTGTAGTTACTATCTCCATTGTTAAAAATAGGTTTGAGAAAAATAATTTCTGCGCCATTCAGCAATTCAACTGGCAGTTCTCAAAATAATACTGCAAAATATAAGCATAAAGCTGATACAAATTTCTCTCAAAAATAAAAAAAATTGCTCAACACACAAAACATTTTCTGATTACTGTAAGTTTAGCTAAGCACAAATCTGCCACTGTTCATAACATTTTGAATACGGAAGCAAAATCTGCCACTGTTCATAAGATTTGTACGAAAACTGATTAAAATGTCTTTTTGTTTTCTTAAACAATGCAAATAATAAAAATGTTTTTTATGTGTAAGATATTTTTGTGTTGCTTGCATTTAAGAATTAGTAACTATTTAAAGTTAATTCATTATTAAAAACTATATTCTTATCATTTTGTGAAAAATCTTCTGATTTCTTAAAGAAATATCTTGATTTTTGAGTGTCATAGGTTGGCAAGTATGTACTTGACAGAGAGAATGCAACACCATGAGCATACAGTTCATGCACCAGTATCTCTGGTATGGTTGTTTAATTATGCAAGTTGCAAAGAATATGGAATATGCAGCTGAATGATTTATATGCATGATATGATATGCAAGTTTATCATGTGATAAAGTAGCAAAATGTAAGAAAAAGAAACGTTAGTTAAGCCAAAAGTTGCTTTTATCATCATAAGATACCCATTTTGCAAGAACTGTTTTTGATGTTGGAAGATATGTGTAGTTGCAGAAATGCTTTGCAGATGCTATTGAAATCATTTTCGGGTTCAGTCAAGTGTTTTCATAAAGAGTTTTATTTTAGGCTGGTGGCCTACAACCAGTTGGTTATATTGATCCTTTATTTATATCATAACTGAAATATCTTTATGTGTCCACTATGCTAACGATTTGAAGATGATAGATTGAAGAAGAAAATGCAAATCATATCAGGGATATTGATGCATCTAGATGGGCATCAGCATATTTGTATTTAGGAATTAAAGACATGGATGGTGGCCCCACAAAGCATGACTGTCAAAATAATGTGGGATTTACAGGGAACTGTATGGCACAATAATGACATTACATTAGTATGATTGGAGTGCTGCAATTGCTTGCACAACCCTATCAGAATTTACAAAGTGCAGTTTTCCAGTAAGGTTAATGCTTAACTGCACATGGGCTGTCGTTAAACCCTATCTGGTATCCAGATGTTTCCTTGGCCATTGAAATCTCCACTTTGCTTGAATTTTATCAAAAAATCTCGCAACAGCTGTGACATGACATTTATTTATAAGATATGTTGATCTGTATCAGTCTGCATAAACAACTTATTTTTTATTCCATTACCCAAAATTTACTCCCGAGGAGGGATAGTGAGCTGAAATCTAAGTTTGAATTCCAGGTAAGAGATTTGGATGTTTGTGATTCAAGCATCTTTTTAACTCAACATTTAAAATCAGTCAAACTGAAAGTCTACTTGAGAGGCTGGTATTAGGAAATAGCGAACCAAGGCCGTTAGATTTATCCCTGGGGCAGCTTCTCAACCAAAATTGGGATGAAGCTCTAGCAAACAGCCCTCATATTTCTTGCCTGAATCAGATAATCTAATCTCCAAACTTTTTCAGCATCATACAATATGCTATAAGGTATATCTCCCGCCTTCGTGGTGTAGTGGTTCTGCATGCTGGGCCAGTATTCCAGAGGTCCGTGGCTTGATTCCCGGCGAAGGCATTTGGTCATTTTTAATCTCTCTGGCTTTTCCAATTAACCTAATGTCTCTGCAATGTCGTCAATATGTATTGCATGATTTGAAATTGGAGTGCTTATAATTCTTCGTATTGTATCTGTTTTACACTGTGGCATTATTAGATCCATTGCAGTTTTATGACTTTTCCTATTATTTCTTATCTTATAGAAACAATGTTTTCAGTAATCAAATCAGACCAGTATTCTTTCTTTTCTTTTCTTTTCCTTTCTTTCTTTCTTTTTTTTTTTTTTTTTTTTTGCAAATATACCTGGCAATAGAAATGACTCATGGAAATTCATGTGGATGATTCCATTTTTGGACCAAAAAGTGCAGGCTATGACTTTTTTTTTTTTTTTTTTTTTTTTAAATGTTTTGAGCCAGTGAATCCAAAGATTAATGCATGTTTCACTCCTGAGATGAGAGGATGCATCTGTGTTTTATCTTAGGTAACAGTTCAGTAAAGACAACTGTATCATCTTTGTGAAAACATTTTTTTAACATTTTAAGATTTGAAATCTTCTTTTATGGTAACATACAGCAATAGCAGCCAGTAGACTGTAATTTTCTTAAGTACCTGTTAATAAATAATTTTGTTATTTACTGATTTTTAAGAATCAGGCATTCCACTTTGTGAATGATCACAGTGGTTTTCAAGTTACCTGCGCACAAAAAATTTTGCTTTGATGGATGGCCATTTTTAAACTTTATGTACCATTCAAATTTCTACTGTGGTTATGGGTCTCATAAATCTGTAAATCTGTCTAGGCCTTTTGCTTCCATTAATTAAGATTCATCATAATATGTTATTTCATGTTTGCACTCACAGGTTTGAAGGTGGCCCCCTCACTTCTACATAACATAACATAACATTCAGAATTTTAATCATAACTTTTAGAAATCCATTTAAAAATGTTGCATCATTTTTATCAGCATAAGTGGAATATTTTATTACACTTTCAAAAGAGCTGAGAATGAAATTAAAAACATAAAAAATGATTGAGAAAACATTTCTCTAAGCTGAAATAATTGAAATACATTAAGCGATTTAATATATTTCTTTGTGTGTGTTATTATACTTTCAGAAGAGATAAAAATCAAAAACATAACAAATGACTGAAAAAAAACACTTCTATAAGGAGCAGTAATTAAGATATGTAATAAATGATTTTTATATATTTATTTTTTGCTAAAAATTATATTCGATGAGGCATATTTTGCTCTATTTCCTTGATCAGAACTTGGTAATAAATATTACCTAAGAACGCATCATAATCTTTCTTCCTAAATATCTTTTATATTTCAGCTTTGGTAGCAGAAAACTTCCTTGAAAAAACTGCATCACAATTGACGTATCATGGTCTTTGTGAACTTGCATCTCATTTGAAAGAAGATGAATTATGTGTTCTTTTCCGTAACAATCACTTCAGTTCTCTAATAAAGCACAAAGTAAGTTTAAGATGTTTGTTAAATGAAATCTAATACTTGCACACATAAGCATGTATATATCTGCCTTGTAGAAAAAGATCCATGCCCATTTTTGAAATTTAAAGGAAAGCTGTTTTAGTTTTGTATTTTATGTGCAGGATTCAAAGAAACAATCTTCTAAGAATAAGTTCTTTTCTTAAACAGGAGACTCTTGATACTAGAAAGTGAAAAGGAAATTAAAATCAATTATCAATTATCTGAAAATAGGCATAACAGCAAGTGTATTTTAATAAATTATTTCTAGTGTAGTTTCAATATTATCAGTGTTGTTTGCATCATATGGAAATTTTTATTACACTTTCAGAAGAGCTAAGAATGAAATTAAAAACATAACAAACATAACGAATGATTGAAAAAACACTTTTCTAAGTTGAAATAATTGAAATACATTAAGTGATTTAATATATTTTTGTGTGTGTATTATTACACTTTCAGAAGAGATAAAAATCAAAAACATAACAAATAATTGTTTAGCTTACTTTTTTGCTCAAAGATGTTGATACATTTTGTGAAGAAAAAATTTCTACCAAGAAATTGAAAGCCATGAAAGAAATCTAATGAAAAAATTATTTCTGATTTTTCGTCATATGGACTTATCAAAATACCGCATTCTGTGTTAGCAAAACTACTTGAGGAAGGATTGAATTTCAGAACTTTTGTTTTTTATAAATATGAAATCAGTTTGTGTTTAACAATAATTCCAGTAATAATTTTACTTTTCTTTCTTGCAATCAAAAAATGATAGGAGTTTTCTTAGAATGGACTTAACTGACTTGAAAAGCAATTGTTTCATGTTTAAATTCATTTCTATGTAGAAATATTATTACAATAGCCCTTTTTGACTGAAAGCCACATTATATTGGCTTCTTGAAAGTAGGTTTAAAAAGGTAATAGTGAAATCACACTGGAAATATTTCTGTGATTATTGGTCGTGGTACGAGTAATGTTTAAATTTAATTTTTTTTTTTTTTTTGCTTATTTGGTTTTTATTCTGTTTCTGTGTTATGTTTAAATAATTTGTAATTAAAAAATATAAAAAAGGATCATAATTAGGTAGGCTTTTATATCTAAAATGCTGTATTATAAAAGGAAAAGAATAAAACAATGCTTAATAATGTAATATACAGTCTACCACTCGAGGGTTAGTTATGTATTACTTAGATGGCACCATTAAAACACTATTTTAAAATTTGAACATGCAATAAAATAGATAGGAATGAAATGATTAAAATAACCAATTTTAGTAGCACTATCTGAGAAATGAATAAATAACTAAAAGTGGTAGACTGCATACTGTATGAGTACCAAAAAATGTTTAAATGGCCTTTTGGAGTTTCTTCAAAATTAATGTATTGCTGTAGTAAAACTGGGAGCTGGAAAAAAATGAATCTTTGAAAAATCTTATTTATATCTTTATTTGCAGTTAATTTATTTCATATATAAAATTTGCAATATTTTATGATTTACTACTTGTTATTTTTCTACTCTGTACTTCCTTATTTTTGAATTTCTTTTACTATAAAAATATGTGTATGTGAAAACATTAACTATGATAACTGCAAACAAACAATATAGTTGATTTCTTATTAATGTAAATTTAACATAAACCTTACAAGACATTAATGCGTTAAAAATGTTATTGAATCTGTTATATGGCTGTATATTTTGTTTATATATCTGAGAATGCAGTGTATTTGATTATATGCCTTGGATTCGGTCACAGAGTTATGGAATTTTTGTTTGGTACAAGGTTTAAAATCCAATATTATGAACTATATTATTTATTTTATTATGAGTATATACTCTTTTTAATTTAATGTATTGAACTTTAGAGTATCTATTTATATATTGTTTATTTATATTTGAGGTGTTAGTACATCATCTATATGTAGTTTTCTTAAAAAATTCTCATATTGGTGAAATGGAACTGGAACTGCAAGTCATGAATACTTCTCATCCATGAGCATATCCTTTTTTTTTTGAAGGGGGACTCATACTCTTAAGTAAACAAGATCAATAGTCAAGATATTTGTAAAGAATGAAATGTATTTCGTGGTATGTATACAACTGTAGCTTTTAAAATCTGCTTTTTGATTTTTAGAACTGTCTTTATCAACTTGTGACAGATCAAGGATTTTTGAATGAAAATGTTGTATGGGAGACTTTGAATAACATTGAAGGAGATGGTCAGTTTGTAGACTCTAGTTTTGTTTTGGTTCCCCCCAAATCCTCCAATATGCCTTTAGCACCAAATGTTTCTGAAGAGCAGCAGATTGATCAAGAGTAAGTACTTATCACTAGTTATTTTCATTAGCTAAACCTGTGTTCAGAAAATTTAATTTTAGTGTCCCTTTATTTTAACTTAGTTTTTTATGACATTACTCAGATTATGTGTAGTATTTAAATTATTATTTTTAGTTATAGTATTTGCTGATATTTTATGACCTTTATATAAGAACAGTTGAGGTACTTTGCCTAATTTTAAATAATACATACTTTTGATCTTATGCCCTTGCACTGATATTTTTTATGTATATCGTCTTACTGTATCAAATCTTAGCTGGCAGTCACTCTTTTAACATTGAAAATACTGATGGAAAAGACATCATAAATCATATTATTCTTTGAAATTTTTGCACTAATATTATTTAAACTGAAAACATTTTGTGCATTTCTTATATTTTACTGATTGCTCAGTTTGAAAGCTGAGAAACATTTCTATTAAGTTACTTTAATTTGCAAAAAATTGCAAATATGTTATACGTTTTATATTAAAAATGAAAAGGTAAAAGAGGCATCAGGATTTTCACATACAAAATAATTTTAAATTTGCATCTGTAAATTATTGTGCATAAATTTCTCAGTAAAGTTTCTTTTTATAAGTAGGAAAGCTTTTACATTATTTTCCATGTTGTTTTTCTGAATTAGTGAATTTACTTTAATTAATTACTTGTAATTTAGTCATTTGTATTTTGTTCAAATGAAATGTTCAGTTAGATTATTTCTAATTTAATGCTAGAAAATATTCAAAGTTATGTGCAGAAATGTTATATTACTTCATTACTTAGTTTTTATGTGATATTAGATTATTTTTGTGTGAAGTTTAATTAATATGATGTGCAATAAAAATGTTTTGAACAACAAACTGTAATTTGAGATATGTTTAATGTGTTAAAAATATTGAATATCATTTTTCATATTGTGGTTTTTTTCATTGATTTTGATAAATAGCCTATTGTTGTACAGATTTTAAGTTTGCTTTAAGTAATTTCTTCTTTTGTAAGAGTTTATTGTATGGTTCTATTATTTAATGGATATCAGATTTTTTTAGAGTGGTACTTTTATTGGCAGGTTTGATGTTATGTGTTTGATACTGGCTTTAATCTCATCATCTTCAGTTCGTGATATAATCGTGCCTTTAACATAATTAGTAAATTGTAATAGTACAGTGTATAATTTCATATTATATAGAGAGTTCCTACATTCATATTAAAATGAACTGATTTAAATCTTTTAGCTGAGATTAATTTCTGTTTAATAAAAGCCTTGTTTTATATTTTATGATATGCCGTAACATTAGTAGAAACATATAGATATATGTACAGAGAGGGAGTAGGCCCAAAATAACGTAAAGCACAAAATAAGCAACAAACTTCCTAAGCAACATCCATACCTAAGTAAGCCCTTACAAATATTTTCCCATCACTCAAAATCATTGCAATCACAGATTATAACCAATCACATCATAACAGAGTTTCCATAACATTCAACTATATAGGTTACCATAAATGAAACAACAACTTGGCGATAATCCAAGGAGTACCCTAAAATATAGACTAACCAAAACAAGTTACAAAACATAACGTTTTTACATGTATAGTTACAGTATGATAAAGTATTTAATAATGTGATTTTTCTTCATTTAGAGCTAGTTGACAATTCGTAAAAATTTATAAAACCAGTAATAATGTGTAAACATGAGAATAAAAATAAAATACATGATAAATTAAAAGAAATTGTAGATGTGGAAATGTTGAAGTAAACATCAATACTATATAATAAACTAGAAACATCTTAAATTTCATCTTAATTTTAAATGTAAGGGACAAAGCAGTGAGAAAAAGAAAATTAAACAAAATTAATGTGGAGAATGAAATTCTACATTTGTCTCATTGAGGGACTATTGCACATATACAGTTTCATTAGCTGCATTTCTAAAATTTCCAGTCCACTCACAAAAATAATTTTCAGAAATTTTTTACGAGTTAAAAGGCAAAATTGAAGGCTTAGTATTGATTGAATTGGTGACTCCAACCCTGTACAGTTGTACAATGTTTGAAACAAAAATGTATGAAATTGTTTCATAAAGTATAAAACAACAAACTCCATGTCCATCGTTACTTTAAGTCTAAAGTGCCAAGGCACAGTAAAAAAAGTTATGTATAAGTCAGTGTATGCTAAGAGAACATACGCCTGATAAATTTAATATCAAATTAAATAAATTGAATTAAGAGAAATCTGTAATTAGTCAAGAAAGTATAAGAAAAAAGATTCAGTGCATTCACACTTACTCTCACCTGTCACTGACGTAATGGTGATTTGAAAGTTTGAAAGCTGTAGTATAATTTGCAGTATATATATAAAAATAGCAAAGTGTAGCTGTGTTATAAAAGTTGCTTTGGGTATAAAAACTGCTGTCTGAAAATAACTTGCATTAAAGCAAAAAAACATTAAAATAGAAAGTTATGTGAAAATAGAATGAAGAGGCTTTTCATGATAGCTGAATGTTATAACACTAGAGATATGGCATGAAAGAATTATGGTGTTATTGTGCAGTCTCCTAAAAGTTGTAAGCAATTTCTCACATAAATACCTGTAAAAAGACTTTTTACTGATATATATGTGAGAAACAATAGAGCAGTTTTAAAAGCATTTTGATAGATTTTTTACCGGCAATTTTTGTGTTCACTTATAAAACACTTATAAGCATTGGAAGAATGTTATAGATTTATCGGGTTGGAGGGAAAGTTCTGTCCTATTTTAAATAGGCAGGTGATTTTTCTTGTAAATAAAAAAAAAAAATCTGGCTAGTGAGTCATTCGGATTTATTTTTTTAAAATTTTTTTATTTTTCAGCTGCTGTATAATAATAAAAGGTGCCCTTCTTTCTTACCTGTTCATCATTTACTTGTGATATTTTAAAGGGAAAAACGTGTCAGTAAATAAAGTGCATTTACGACACTGCATTTTGTACATGAATTCCAAAAAGGAAGCAACGCATCGGTTGCATGTAAAGAATTTATGTGCGGTATTTGGAAAAGATATTGTAAATGTTCGTACTTGTCAAAGATGGTTTAGCAAATTTCGTTCCGGGGACCTGAGCCTCAAAGAAAGTGTTCGATCTGGACGACCATCCAAGATCTATAATGATGTTTTGCGATCCATGTTGGAAAATAATCCACATTTAACAAGTCGAGAAATTGCAGAAGAGTTTGGCATTCATCATACAACTGTTGGAGATCACATTAAATCTCTTGGGTTTGTGTTAAAGCAAAGTGTTTGGGTTCCACATGAATTAACGGAAAGAATTTGTCTGATCGTGTAAGAATATGTTCATCACATCTGATTAGACACAATGTGGAGCCGTTTTTGGACAGGCTGGTTACTGGAGATGAAAAGTGGATTCTTTACGAGAATATTAAAAGAAAAAATCTTACTGCAAACCAGGAACATCATCAGCAACAGTTCCAAAACCAAGTATCCATCAACGAAAGTACTGCTTTGTTTGTGGATGGGACAGGAAAGGTCCTGTGTATTACGAGTTGCTGAAACAGGGAAAAAACATTAACGCAGATCTGTACTGCAATCAGCTGGATAAATTGAATGCAGCTATCAAAGAAAAAAAGGCCAGCATTAGCGTCCAGAAAAGGAATAAGTGTTCCATCACGATAATGCTCGCCCGCATACTGCAAGTGGTGACACTACAAAAACTGAATTGCGTTAGGATGGGAAAGTCCTTAGTCATACCCACCATATTCACCTGACATTTGCACCCTCTGATTATCATACCTGTTCAGATCTCTGCAAAATTATCTAACGGGAAAAAAATTCAAGTCTTTTGAAAGTGTTTCTAAGACAGTTGCTGACTATTTTAACTTTCCAATGGACGAGAACTTCTACAAAACAGGAATTTACAGGTTACCTGGAAGATGGCAACAGGTTGTAACAAATAACGGAGCGTATATAATTGATTAATATTAAACACATATTTTTATAAATAAATTCAAATATTTTCTTTAAAATACGACAGAACTTTCCCTCCAACCCAATAGATGGGGAATAAACTGAATCAAATGAAGTAATGATAAATTCAATGAAATAAATTAGAATCTTATATATTTATTTTCAAAACCTGCTTCAAAAATGGCATTACTCTGCGATGATCTAATAAATTTAATGGTTTCGAAAGGAAAAAGAGTTTATTTACCATATAACATGGTGTTATTGCAGTTTTAATAATCATATTTAAATGTTCCATATTATTATTGCAAGTTATATAGGTTCATATATGCAACTACAACTTACATGCAGCAATTTCATAGAACGAAACAGCATTCCCAGATGGTATAGTAGTTAAGGGAGCCTACTGCAATACCGAAGGGCCCAGGTTCGAATCCGAGAGAAGGCTTGGATGTTTGTAAATGTGTAGTGTCTGTGTATCATGAGGGCACTCTAAATATGTGGCGAGCCAAAAGTCCTCTCCATGCCATGGTGAATTTCGTAGACTTGTTCTGATGCTACTGTCAGACAAGGGAGATAAGTCGCAACAATAACACTTTTTTTTTTTTTTTTTTTTTTTTTTTTGAGCCCACCAGCGGCCGAGCGGTAAAATCGCTGAACACTGGTAGTTTGATTCGAGGTTCGAATCCCGCGAACGGGCTGGCTGCATGGGCGTTTTCGTGGTTTCCCCATGTGTAACGTGTATATGAGCCAGGTACCCTTAGAAAGTCCTCCACAAAGGCATCCCTCCCCTTAGGCAAATAGCCCTCGAGGCTTTGCCGTAATTAATTAAATAGCCTTTTTTTTTTTCTTTCTTTTTTTTTCATTTCACTATTACTTGTGTGTGAGGATGATGCTAAGTGTGACAGCAATGGATCTTTTGCTTTTATTTTTCTATTTTCTTAGCTAATTACAAATTTATTTAAAATTTAAATTATTAATTTTGATGTTAAATTTATGAGTTTAATTTTTCTTTATGTATTCGTGGCTTTTAGTCTTATATAT